CTAAGAAGTCCCACAATAGGCCACCTGCAGGCTGGAAACTCTGGGCTGCTCAAGCCAAGACCGAAAGCCTCAGAACCAGGGGAACCGATGGTGCAATTCTCAGTCCGAGGCCAAAGGCCTCAGAACTTGAGGGATATGCTGCTGGTGTTAAGTCCTGGAGTCCAAAAGCTGGGGAGCCTGGCGTTCTGATGTCCAAGGTCAGGAGAGAAGAGTATATCTCAGCTCCAGCACATAGAGATATTCGCCATTTTATCCATTTTTATTCTCTCTGTTTCCCTGCAGATTGGATGGCACCCCATGCATATTGAGGGCAGACCTTCCCCACCTAGTGCACCCAGGCCCACATGTCAAATCTCCTCTGGAAACACCCTCACAGACACACCCCAAAATAATGCTTTACCAAGTTCCTAGGTATTCCTTACTCTAGTCAAGCTGACACCTAGAATTAACCATCTCAGCATCTAACTGAGGCAATGGCAAATCTGCTTTGGTAGGACTTTCCCTTCAGCGGTCTCTCTTGTTCATATTACACATGAGAGTCAATTTACCGGATGCCAAATCATCACTTTATGTATCTTCAACAGCAGCTACTAGATTTTTCCCTTATTTATGATTAAACAGAATGATGACATGAGAATTCAGTGCAGAGGAAGGTTCTTCTCCCACAAGTGGCCTTTCACTCTTCACAAGAGACCTACTGGTCAAGGTGCTTGATTCTGTCCCCCAGGGCTGAAATCAAATGAGTGACACCATGGCAAAAGACTCACTGTCCCACAAAATGATGACATGAGAATTCAGTGCAGAGGAAGGTTCTTCTCCCACAAGTGGCCTTTCACTCTTCACAAGAGACCTACTGGTCAAGGTGCTTGTTTCTGTCCCCCAGGGCTGAAATCAAATGAGTGACACCATGGCAAAAGACTCACTGTCCCACACCACTCCTCTAGGATCTCTAGGCTCCCGAGCTATGAAACATGTAGCACATCACAGTCTAGGCAAAGAGAGGTGCACCTTGCAAGGCACCTATCAGAAAACTCCGCACAAGTGCAGCAGGCTTCTCTCGAGAATGAGAGATACTGCCTCTTTTAAAGCAACCATGACTTCAGCATCTCCAACAAAAATTCACATTCAACACCAGACAACAATAATAAAAAAATAAAATGAGTTCCAGATAAGGATATCTAAGAATGAGGACACATTAACTTCAAGACCTAAGTACAGGGGTTACCCAAATGGTCAGATAAATACTTCCTTTCTTAACCAATTGATTGTTTTTGCTGTTAACATCATCCACCACCAGGTAGTACGACATCATATCTTCTGCAGAGTTGTCCAAGGTTTCTTGCAAGTGCTGCTTACCATCTGTGGCAATGACTTCTTCCTCCTGGCTGTTCAGGTCTCCCTCCTGGAGGCTGAGCTCTTCTTGCTCAGCTAAGCCATTGACGGTGGACAGCTGACCATTCTTCTGTAGGAGCTATGGGGAAGACAAAGCCATGTGAATTTAATTTCAGTCTTCATGACCAAGTTAGAAACAATACATTAACTTGCAGAACATAAACCATTGAAAAGAGAAACAGAGAGAAACGGGGGTTCAATAACAATGAACATTTAAATCTTATATTCGTCTGAAAGATCCAGCTATCTTAAAAAGGTGTACAGTGCTATATCAACAAACAGATGGTGCCCTGAACACAAGTCACCCATTCATTCATTCATTCATCTGAACACCAGGCAGGATGTACACACTCACCGTTCCAGGCCTATCTGAGATACAGCAATGAATAAGTCAGGTGTGGTCCCTACCACTCTGAGCTTACAAACTACTATGGAAGGCAGACTTTTAAACAGTATTTTTTTTTACTTTAAAATAATGTTTCCTTGTGATTAGAATCAGGTTATGCATATTAGACTATAATCCTTAAGTGATGACATGTCCTCAGGTAAGAAGGCAGAAATGTAAACAAATAACTACTAAACTGCAGCTATGGAAGCTGTTGTAAAAGAGGCATACCTAGAGCAAACGACAATAAACAGAGTCCTAACCTAGGCTGGAGGTGTCTGGGGCTTCTCCTAGGAAGTGAGGGTAAAGCTGAGACCTGAGTTCCCGGAGAGGGCTGTGTGGGAAAAGGGTGCAGGGATGCAGAGAAGGGAGGCAAGTTGGAAGTCCCCATGGTGCGAAAGCCACCGTGTCCAGAGCCCAGTGGACAAAGAGGTATATAACGCATGCATTTGAGTTATTGTTTTTTCCTTAAAAAATTATTAAAATGATTATTTGCAATCCTCCCCACAGGATGGCCTACCAAATTGATGTCATCAATTGTAAAAATAGTAGGTATGCCCTTAGTCATTTTTTAAATCCTGAGAATATAGGTAAAAAGTTTTAAGCCAAATAAAAACAGCACAATAACCACGATGAATCCAAAGGTTTCAACAGTGCTTTGTAGTGCGTACACATTTCTCATTTGTCTTAAAACCAACTTGTGCAGGTGCCGTTATTTCCCTGAATAAGTAAGGACACTGGGACTCAACGCGATCACAGTGGGGGTAGGGCTGTCTCGCCAGGGCCCGCAGCTCTGCAATGGAGGCAGCATGGCCTGAAGGCCAGGTCTTGTCACCAACCACTTCCAGAGTTTTCCACACACTATGAATTGTTTGAGGCCCCCAACATTCAGGCACCACATGTTGAAGGACCTGTTATTTCACACGATTATAAAACGACTTAAAGAGTATTCCATATACCAGACCTGCTTGCTACAAAGAAATCTCAGAGTTCGATGGTGTGTTAGACATCATTCCATCTTGCATACAAACCAGGGGTGAGTCCAACCAAACCACTGACTTAGATCAGAGTCTTGAAGGGACAGTGGGTTCAAGACAGTCAATCCAGAAGCCTTGAGTTGTGCTAAATTGATTTCACCTGGCTGTTCCCTGCTCCCAGCAAGGCCGTCCTTCAATGGCATGAGTTTCCTCCTGAAATAATACCACTGTGCTTTAATACTTACACTACAGATGGAATAGTTGGCTTCAAAATGCCCATGCTGAGTCCATTTATTAAACAGCATACTCAGATTACATTTCCACTTAAAGTCTTCTCTTACCAAAACATGAAAGATAGGAATTCTAAATGAAACCTAAAGACAAAAAGCAGAGGGTGGGGAGGTGTCTCCACAAGGCCATCAGCAGAAATGTCGGAGTACCCTAACTAAATATTGTTAGCTATGTGCACAGGTTAGACTTAGATTTGATTAATAATGTGAAGAAAAGCCGGAGGAAGAAAGTAGGAATCACACATTATTGTGGACTATATGGAACCCAAGGAATCTTACACCTAAAAAACATCTGGGGCTGGCCAGTTAGCTCAGTTGGCTAGAGCATTGTGCAGAAAACACCAAGGTCCAGGGTCCAATCCCAGTACTGGCCATCGGGCCCCCCAAAACTCCAACAAAACCTTAAAAATGTTGACATATACACCATGATATGACAAACAACAGGAAACGTGAGCAAGCTGTCCTAACACCTCAATTTCAATGCAATAAATTTTGGTCAACTGTTTCCCTTGTTTAGGAAATAGAACTCTGCAGTTTCTATAGAGTTTAAGTTTCTACAGAGTTTCTACAATTCTTGAAAAATGTCTTATTCTTTGTGAATTGTCTATTCATCTCTTTAGCTGGAGCCATACTGAGTCTCTTTAAACATGAAGAATCTATAGGACACAGGCACAAACTTTTAGTCCACTCTTAGAAGTGTTACAGATACATAGCAAAGTACATTAGATGTTAGAAAATGAGTATTAAAAACTGAGATCAATGGCTAGACCTTCTAATATCTTAAGTATGTTAATAAGTGAATTATGGCATAGTCATTTGCAGTGACCACAGCGTAACTGTCTCTACTTCAGGAAGGCACTCGATGCATTATTAATTTTGGTAGCAGACAATTAATAACAGTGACATTGTTGAAACTGAGTTTTGAGTCTATTTCACTGTGTGCATAGCTTGAGTCCACAGGCATATGCAAGCTCTGACCCCACGGGTGACGTCTTGGGTGAGCACTCACAGCGCCCACGGCACACCAACACTCCACACAAAAACAGGACTTCATTCCTGGTCTTAGTGTCATATTCAGACATTTCCACCACTCTGCCCTTTCCTGTACAGACGCTTTTGCAAAATCTCATGTGTTCTTGTAGATGGTTAATTCACTTTTTTCACCCCAAATAAAGTATTGTTTTTTTTCTACCATCCCCAATCACCTAAATAATTCATACTATCATTTAAAAAATGCAGGTATTCCTGAGAATGATCAATAAGTTATAGTCATCTCA